CTTCTTCGATCGTGGTTCGAAGGTCTCATGCAACACAACGGGCGGTTGACTTTGGTACTTCAATTTGCCCCTCGGACCAGTCACGGGCGTCGCAGGCTTCCACTGCTCGTCTTCTTGGAAGCCCGGCGCATCCCAACCGGTAGGGTAGGCGCGCAAGTCTTTGGTTTCGGAAGAGTAGATATTTGCTAGTGAGGTCGCACTCTTACGGATACTCCAATCTGGGCCTGTAGTGATGGTCTCGTGGCTACGGTCGGGGTAGAACAGATGTAGCTCCATGAAGAAGCAAAGCTCATTGCCATATCTAACGTATGTGTTGTCTTCATAGCATGGCCAGAAGAAACGGTCCTCGCCTTGGTCACCCGCGTAGAAGCCATTGCCGATATGGGCGCCAAGCACATTCTCGCCTTGTGTCAGTATTTTGGACAAGTCGTATGCGACAAATTGCACTGTGCGATGGTAGTTCGTCCAGCCAGGATCTAGGACATGTCCGTTCGCCGCAGCGGGATCGCCATTACAGACGAAGTTGAAATGGCCAAGACCCGATGCGAACGCAATGGCACGAGATGGCTTCCGGTCGAGATGCAGCGCCTTGCGTACATACAGCGGCTTGTCTCCATTATCGCCGATCCAGACGCCCTTCCATCGATTCGGCTCATCTTCAAACCATGTACGGAAGATGAGGCTGGTGTGTGGCATGTAGGTCTGGTTCATGCTGTATGGCGGCAGTAACCCAGAGCATCTGGGGTATGCAGTGAAGAACTCGTTTGCTCTGCCAACCGTGACAGTACCATCAGAATCCCATACTGTGACTCTCCAGTAGTGGAAGGTTGCCGATTCGAAACCTCCGTCAGGTGCACAGAGTATATTGCGTTGCCTATCGCTTTCCACCTTTCCAGAACTCCATACCATTTTATCCCATAATCCTGGTGTCGTGAAGACTTCAACGCGATAGGCTATTTGCTGGCTGTCTTCGCGATCTGAATGAAGAACCCAAAAGAAGCGGATTTTGTCTGTGTCGATGCCGAGCGCCTCGTGGAAGCCGTGTATTCCGCATCGCGTGACTTCTAGGACCATACTGAGCGATTGCAGATTTGAGATGGCTTGCGTTCGTAAGGTTGGCTTGCTTGAGCAACCACAATGTCGTGCAGCGTAGGTTATCGGAAAGGTGGAGGGTTGGTGGCTGTTACTGCGAGAGGGTTCAACTAATCATTTACATCTTCAAATCTTCAATCAGAGTACGCGTCGTAACAAGATGCTGCGAAATTCGGGTGAATTGGCTGCGAGACCACCGACCGATAGCCTGTTAGGCGTGACATGAGTGTTTGGCACGGTCTTATCCCGACGTGGTCCCGAAGTGGAGACACGCGTCCGGCAGTCTGATTCGACAGCGAGCGCGAATGCGGGGACCCCACCAAGACATTGCAGCTTGGCCTACAGTTCGATCTTAACTCCCGACCCGTAGCGCAAGGCCTTACCGTTCGTAATAATCATTCTCCGACATTTTGACTAATGGCGAGCACAACCTCTAGCATCATAGCAAAAGCTCGACATAGGTATCGTACCTTATGATAGTAGTTGCAAGCTGTGAAATTCGAAGTACTGATGAAACTGCGTAGAGGGCAGCATTATATATTAGCCTGAAAAGTTCTGCGAGATACGTACTGTTGTTTCATCTAGCCCGAGGTTTCGCGACGGCAGTAGAGCGTCACAAGCATTCTCGGCCCCCTGTACAGTCTCAACGATCCGTGCATGGACACATGCGCGTGTCAGCCAATGCTGGCTTCGGGGCAGTAGAGTCCGGGGTAACAAGGGACGCAGAATGGAACCACAGTCCGTTGATACATAAGCCGTGGTGTCGCATGGCGATAGATCCACTTCCCCACACACTATCTCACATCATCGCTCAAGATGGGAGTCGCTGTTACGGTCTTTAGCGCAATCTTTCTGGCGACCGGAGGTAGGATTTCCACCTGGCAAGCGCACGAGCTCACAAGCTGTGTACTGATTCATCTACAGGTTTCCTTTTCGGATATGACTCTGGTATCATCACCTCGACCATCGCCCTTCCTACCTTCAAAGAGTACTTTAACGACCCTTCGGACGATGTTGTCGGTGGTATTGTGTCCGCCTTTCAAGGTGGTGCCATCGCCGGGACCATCTTCAACATGCTGTTCGCGGATATGCTAGGCCGTCGCTGGACTATCTTCGTAGGAGCGGTCATCTCCATCTTGGGCAGTTCTCTTCAAGCAGGTGCTGTTAACATGGCTATGCTCATCATCGGTCGCTTCATCGGCGGAGTCGCAGTAGGTCAGCTCACTTCGACCATCCCTATGTACGCCGGTGAGCTGTCCGAGGCGAGATACCGTGGCACTCTCTCTGGTTTGCTGCAGTGGATGCTGAGCTGGGGATTCTTCGTCGCTCAATGGCTCGGCTATGGCTGCTCCTTCAACAGCACTCAGTTCTCATGTAAGTCGACCTAGACATGAGTCGCTGTCTTTTCCTGCTAACATGTCTCAGGGCGCTTTCCTCTCGCATTTCAGAATGTACCTGGTCTCGTCTTGCTCGCTGGCATTTTCTTCCTGCAGGAGTCTCCTCGTTGGCTCATGGAAAAAGATCGACATGAAGACGCCATGGCCTCGCTCAACAAGCTCCGAAGGGGCCACGATGCTGAGACAATCGATCTAGAATTCCGCGAAATCCGTGATGTCATCATCGCAGACCGCGCTCTGGGCAATATCAGTTGGCTCTCGATCATTACGAAAACCTCTTGGCGCAAGCGTCTCTTGCTGGGTTGTGGTGTGCAAGCATTCGGTCCGCTGTCCGGTATCAACGTCATCAACTACTACGGCCCGCGCATCTACGAGATCCTCGGAATATCGACACAAGAGTCGCTCATGATCATCGGTATCAGTGGTGCTCTCTCAATCGTGTGGTGTACCATTGGACTGGCGCTAGTCGACAAGTTTGGACGTATCAAGCCCCTTCTCATATCGGCAGCGGGCCTAGCGGCTGCTCTTCTCGTCAACGCAGTACAAGGGCAATATTTCGACCCCAACAATGGCGCGCAGCTGCGCAGTATGGTGGCCATGAACTTCCTCTTCTCCTTCTTTTACACACCTCTTGGCATCATCTCGTGGGTTTACCCTGCAGAGATTTTCCCCATCGAATGCCGCGCCCTTGGCAACGCCATCACGACTTTTACCAACTGGGTTGTGAACCTCATCTTCGCCCAGTTCTCTCCCCAAGCACTCAGCACGATTGAGTTCAAGTACTTTTACGTCTTCTTCTGCTTCAACATTGTTGCTTTCTTGTGCTATTGGTTCTTCTATCCGGAGACCAAAGGCAAGACCTTGGAACAGATGGACGAGCTGTTTGGCGATCAATTGGTACCGCATGCATTGCAAGATCCGGCAGCGGCATCGGCGGCTATGGAAAAGGATGAGAAGCTCCACGCGGAGATCGCGGTCGTCTGATTGCCATTTGATGCGGCCGGTGTTGGCGTTGAGCGGAAGGAATGTCAGAGGGAAGCTGCAGGTGGCGTTGTTGGAAGGTTAACCTGTGGTACGTGCGCGGTGTTTATAGCGACTTATAATCATATATGATGTGAGACCTTCCGAAATTCAATGTGGCGCGTACAGACGGAACGTATGAGCATATTAGTGCCTCATGAGGCATGAGGAACAATAACAATTGGGTTGGCGCAGGCAGGATGTCGATTCCAGCCCTAAAGAAGACGGAAAGCACATGTGCAGCCGGGACGAGCTAGTACGTAAGAGGAAAGGCGCCGCGCGTCATCGATTCTCCAACAGCTCGAGGTGTTTTTCCATGTCGCCGCGCAACACCGGTTACTCTTCGCCATCCCTAGTCATTTGAGCGTCTATCAAATAGATCAGTACCATGGCGAAATCACGACATGGGCTGTTGAGAACTACACGATATGAAGGCTCATTACACATGAGCAGAAGAGAGACCTCAAGTCGAATTTGCTCCTTGAAAGAGTTATTCCTGGAAGCTAAGGTTGTCGTCACAGCACGCACTAAACGCTTGGATACTGCGAGCGTTCCTACGGAAAGACACTGATCTGCAAACACTCGCTGTCTCAGCGGAGGTCTAATATGTTCTTGAAGGGTATGGAAGAATCTCCATCTTTAGGGGAAACGTGAAGCGTACCTTGTCCCAGGAGACGCACACGATGGAAGCTCTTTTCACCCAGGTATCCTGCGTGTGCACAACGCTGCATCGAATGACGAGCTTTTTGGAACTTGCACTCTTCACAGTATGGTCTCTCGCGTTCCCAATTCGAAGTACGGATCTTCTTTGCATTTTATTGTCTTCGACACCTCCGGATTAACCACGTCATCAAAGGTCCTGATTAACTTGTGACTCATGGCAGCAGTGTCGAGAATACTCCGCGAGACGCGGACTAGCATTGCATTGCAAGTTCGCGTGAGCTTTTTGACGCAGCTCTAGGCACCCGTGGGGTTCAGTCTAGTATGAATAACACGGACCTTGTAGGGCTTCTCCCCCGCACTCGAGACTTGGGGTGCGACCCGAAAGTGGAAACGAAGGGATTTCTGTGTGGCGACTCTCGCCGTTTCCAGCTCAATGAAGGCGTCTTGCGCACTTGGCTTAGACTCTTCGTTCCTTATATAAACCCTCTTTCTCTCTCGTGTTGTAAGTCAAGCTGATAACGTAAAGTCAACAGCGTTTCCGACTCGCCAGAAACCTGTCGCACACCCCGATACTAAGCCTGACTATTCGCTGTTATCCTTACACCTCTTCCCGGAAGCCATAAGGAAATCTCTTCAACGGTTATTAGGCCCAGAAGCCTCCTTCTCAGCTCGTACCCTCCAGCCCATCCTTGACGGCGAAACCACAACGTCATTGCTACTGGCGATATCTTATCTCGAACCCCAAACCAGACGCCCCTCCACCAAATTTCTGCAGATTACAGCAAATCAAATTCGTCCGTATCACTGCGCATACGCGTTCCAGCCTCGATGTCTCCTTCCAGCACACCAGGACGACTTCCAGAGATAGCCAGCAGTTCTGGCTCCGAGCCAGTCAGACCAATACGTCGGAAGCCTCTGCATGCAACCAGCTCCAACTACAACAAACGTCAGAATGGAGATTTCGACAATCGCCACTCTGATCGCCCACCGGGCGCCGGCAATGTGTCTCTCGATCACCTCATATATCCCGACGAGGACGTGGGCTGTGGGCCAGTTCTTCGTTCGCATCGCACAGCTCACCAAGCTCGAGAAGACACTTGCTCCATACTAAAGGACCGAGACTCGCACTCGGATGAGGAATCTACACCTTTGTCCAAGGAATCATCTCTACCTGACATGGACCCCGTCGATCACTTCGAGACTATCTCTGCAGGTCCTGATGCACTCGCTGCACTCAGAAAGCACATTTCGGACGCTCTCCTTGCGAGGCTTCCCGATCTGAACGACATGGAGTTCTCAAGACATTCCTCAATCGGCCCCAAGTTCATCATGGAAGTAGATGAAAGACACGGATATGGAGGTCATGACGTTGTGGAAGTTACATGGTATGAGGCCATATTTGAGCAGAGGGTCGCAACCAAACTTCCCTTCCAACAAGCTGCAACAAAAGACGAACTATATGCCGTGGTTAAGTACTACTTCCTATTGGCGGTGGAGGCGGGAGTGGAGAACTTTCACCATGACTTCATCCCATTGAACAGGTCCTTCGTCCAGCACCTGACCAGCTTATGCCTACATTATGTACCAGATCTTCGGACACCGACGCATTCCACTGAGGGATATACATACTATGAGGAGCCACCCCCACGATATCCCACGAAGTTTGATCGACGGCGTCCCCCAGGTTATGAGAAAGAGCTGGGTGTAGCAAAGGTCCATCAGTTTCCGCAAGTCAGCATCGACGCATCCGAATTTGACCCAGGCAAGAGCGACAGTAGCAATGTAGACAGCGAGTCTGCCAGTCTGCAACGGTCAAGATATGAGAAGCAAGCTTCTCGAATGCCAGGCTTCGCAGCCGAGCCATCTTTGCATATCTCAGCTCAACCACGGCGCAAACCTATCACTGCCTTCTTACGCAACGATCGATCAGCCCTACCACGTCCCCTCAATCAGGGCGAAGAAGCTTTAGTTCGCGGCTCGACTTCTCCGCGCAATGCCATCTCTTCGTGGTTAAAAACGATGGCTGAAGAGCTAAACCTGCATCCAGATGCTCTACCCACCAAGGCACGATCAGGAAAAAGGCGGGAGCTGAAGACCGACCAATCTATATCGGATGAAATCGACTGGCCGCTGCGAGGATCGTCGCCGCAAAGCTCGGTGTCCTCTGGTTACAAAGACATGGACCATTTCTCGAACCGCGACCAGAGCAGCTTGTTGAGTGGTACAGACAACTCCGTTTACTCGTTCCCGGATCAACACGCCTCAAAGCCTGATGAAGAACGCGCGAGCTTGACGCGCCTCGCGATGACGGAGCCACTCCCCGATAAATATCGGCACGATGTAGAGTGGAGAGTGTTCCGAACCTCGACTGCCTCTCTTCCGGGGGTAGACAAAGATCGTCGTGAGCGCCGCACATCAAGGAAAGCGGAGCGATCTCGCAACCCGATCGCCAACCGCCGCTCCAGCTCGACTTTCGATCGGGTCGTGTCGCCTTCCCTGCTTCAGCGTCAAAAGAAGGTCATCGATAGTCGCATCGAAAAGACACTTCATGACATCGAGGATCACTACATCCAACTAAAGAAACTTCGACAGCTTCAAGCAAGTATCAAGGCGGAGATAGTAGAAGAGAAGCGCCGTGAAGAGAAGGAAAACCGGTTTGAACACGAGGAGATGATGCGCCGGAAGGACGAGGAGAATGGTGGTAACGATAGCAACAAGTCGAGGTTTTTGAGATTGTTGTAGCGACAACCGTATTCGCATGGGAAGAGGAGTCTTTGAGTCGATTTGAAGGAGGATGACTGGGCTTGCACAAGACGTTGCTTTCCAGGGTGGCGAGAGAGCGGGTGCTGTGGGCATGGTCTTCGGCTTCTTGGACATCACGTTGTATTTGCTTTGATATGACATATGTAACAGGACACTAGCAGTGTAACAAGTGTTTCATACCAATTTCCCATTGTTGCCATCTCGTCTTCACCGCGTCTTTGCACCTTAGCGCGTCCGAGTCGAGCGTTTGCTACCTAGATAGGCAATCCACGTCACGTAAACAGACGCGTCCATCAAAACAACGACCGTGACTAATTCTTGTTGCAGTATCCAAGTATTCCCGCCTACAACCCACACAATCGCCACACCGGTTGTAGTCCCTGGCCCTACAGACCCGAACCAATCTCATCAAAGACGACACCACGTATTCGGTAACCACGCCCACAATGTCTGTCGCTAAGGCCAATCTGGCCCAGCTCTACACGGAAATCGGCGACGCTAACTTACTCGATCACGCGCCGTACGACCAGATAGTCACCGCCTCGCAGTATTATGATCCTCGCGCTATATCCTTCAAGATCAGATTTGGCTACATCGTCGACAAATACAGCAAGAGACCGCAAGAAATCTGGGTCCTCTTCTACCCACCCACTAAAGAAGGCCGGCATCCCGAGATGCAATTCCACTCATTCGACCCCGATACGAATGCTTTCACCAAGCACGATGACAGCAACATCAGCACCACTGTCTCTGCACTCGCTAGCGCGTTCAACAACCCGAAGAAAGCAGCGAAGGGCAAGCACGTGGCGCTAGCCAAGTACTACTACCTAAAGGCTCTCGTATCAAGGGAGGCAGGAGGCGCTAGTGAGCTGGAGATACCTATACCGATTACTCGCACTTTCGTCGACAGCTTGAGAGTCGTTTGTCGGGAGTTCGAGGAAGCCAAGGAGAGATCGTCGCGCTCACCATCAGTAACGCTGATTGATGACCATGACAGCGTTCTCAGTGATCCTCCGGAGGACCTTCTTGAGCCTACTCAGCCAGTCAAGGCAACCTCAACAATCACTGCCGAGGTATCCTCCGTTCTCGTAAGTACCCAAACGAACAGAACAACACATTCTTGCTCCGATACTAACTTCAACAGACTTCTAATGTCAACATCCAGCGACTCGAAACACTCCTTGCGGTCCGCGACGACGAGAGAGAGCTCGAGGCTTCCAACAGCGCTCTAGATGCAGAGGAGAGGGTCCTGAAGCTGCAGCGCCGTGTCAATGAAGACAAGCAAGCGAAAATAAACGCTCGCCGACAAGAGGCATTCAAGGGCATGAGCTTAATGGATGCATTCAAGTTGGGCGGAGAGATGGAGCGCGAGGAGAAGCGCCGAAAGCTCGCTTAGAGTCGCTTGATGAAGGTCACGATGTCCTGTATCGTCAGTCATACTCTTGAACACTTGGGCAGCAAAGCCTACCCTGGAGGCTACCCCGTATCTTACTTGTATAACTTGTAAATCTTGATGTATCGTATACTCCTGAGGTACCGATTTCAGCCATAGGCAGAGATTAGACAGAAAAGAGACTCATCGTTATGATGTTGAACTGCCTTCCCATTATCTGATAGCAAGGGATAATCACCAGTCAGTGAATGATCCAGAAGTAACTAATACACTCTCGTAATTAGCGCATCCAGCTGAATATATGACCACCTCGTTTGATCACTGCAGTAGGCACCACTTTCGTATCTGCACGCTCAGCTCTACCTCTCTCAAGCGTCCAAGCCTGTCAAAGACGCAATATTGTGACTCTCGCCACGATGTCCGCTCCATCACCCCAACCTGACGATAGCCCTTCCTACGCCAAACTCAAGCGCGACCTTGGCGACGACGCGCCTCTCCTCAACTTTGTCCCCTACAAGCGCGCCACGTTCGAGCCGCAAAACGAGATCGCCGAAGCAGCGCCCGAGCGACTCCTCTATGGCGACATGATGGAGAGCAAAGGCTCGCTCTGGATCTACTGGACCCTCAACTACCACAACAAGAAGAAGAGCCACCACGACTACCGGATGATAACCTTCCAGACTATCGAAGGCGCAAAAGGCCATGAGGCGGGCGTGCGTCCGAGCTCAGTCCAGACTGTCGCACTGGCGTCATGGCCTTTCAAGCATGCGAAAGACCACGATGCGGTCGCAGCTATCGCGAAGTACTTCTTTATTCGTAAAGGTATCGATATGCAATTGCAGTATCCGGTGTCGTCTGGCCCGTTCAAAGAGGCCCTTATGCGCGTGTGTCAGCATTACAAAGCCATATACAACGAGACGCAAGCCAACAAGGCAGCAAGCCGGCGTTCATCGGTCATGCCTACTGGAGATCGCGATCAGAGTGTTGTTTCGCAATTCCAAGATGCACGAGAACCTTCGTATGCAGCTTCTTTAGCTCCATCAAGACCGGTGTCGCGCGCGCCATCCCGTCCCAGGAGCATGCGCAGTATGGACACTCGCAAGCGCCGGCACAGTTCGGGCTCGAATCTCGACCCTCAGCCTGAGACAGAAAAGCGCAGCGCTCCTCGCGAGGGATCTAGCAACTTCTCATCCTATTCCCGACCACCTTCCCCGTTCCTCGCGTCGGTTCAGCCTTCCCTTCACGAGCGCCCTGAAGATGAAGAGATGCAAGACCTTTCCCTTAGTAACCACAACGAAGCAGATCAAGGACAACCAGCCGACGGCGCGCGCCCAGACGACATCGACCGCGAAACGATGATGGATCAATACATTGCGCTCAAAGCCCGGGAAGAAGATCTTAACAGTAGGATCAGCGACATGGAGACGGAGCGTGTACGTATTGCGGACCAAGTAGCGGGGCTACAAGCGGACATCAACACGATCGGCAACCGACAGGGCGACTTAAAAGAAGAGAAAGATCGCGTGCGAGCGGAGAAGAAGCAGCTGCAGATTCAGCTAGATAAAGATGAGCATCTGGACTTTGGGTTTGAAGCCGGACGGAGGATGGAGACCAAGCGTCAACGGCGGGACTAGTCTCCGGAAGGCACGGACCTACCCCCGACGCACTGCTTGGAAGTGCTGATAATTGCATGTTTGATGGTTGGTTGAAGAAATGGCGGGGTTAGATCCTGCGTTCTTTTCGCATGACCTGGGAGGAGCAAGGGATGACTAGCTGCAGATGGACGTGGCCCGAGGAGGATACCCAGGTAGCTCAAGTTACCAGTAGAGGCGAATTGGTCGTGTGTACAGAAGTAGAACTGGTAACAGATGGACTCTTTACAACATCTCAATGCTTTGATTCAAATTAATTGGCAACATGTCGATGGAAAGGGGGAGAAACTGAAGGAGCTGTGAACTGAGTTTCAGGAGTCCTGAATCAGCTAGTGGCCCCCGCAAGTTCGATGACGCGTGACGTAATCAGTGAATGCGCCAACGGTAAAACTCTTGGCTCCCCAACGTAAATTCGCGTCGCGTCCTCGCGATCGAACATCACCTCAATAGCTTCCAGTGCGTACGAAGAACCTAAACTTGGGTCTTATCGATATCTGTGGCCCACGTGGAATCGCGTTCACGCCAACCACGTCACGCATGCTCGAACACCTGCAGGTGTGAACGACCCACATCGCGCCAAGGGAAGAGCGGTCTGAACAACGATTGACACATTTTCTATTTTGTACTTTCCAATATATCTTACTGTACTCGAAGTTCTGATATCAAGACAACATTATACTCCAATCCTTCTACAAGCTTCCCGTACTTATCCAGAGCCCACACAGCCCTTTCCAGCCCCCACAAACAAATCATGGATTGTTCCGACGGCTTCTCATTCAATGATCTCAATTGGATGAGACAAAACGAGATACCAAATACCGTGAAGACAGCGCTACTATATGGCGAGATCCGTGGAACCGGAGAGAAAGCTGATGTCTGGATCTACTTGGACAAGGCCACGACGTCCCTTATCTGGCAGATCTACTACCCCGAGGGCAACGCCAAGCCTCAAGTCATCACCGTTGACGAGGCTCTGGAGAAAGCGAAACCCTGTGCCTGGTTCAAGCTTGCTACAACCCCGGAGAAGCTGGAGGCCTTGGCTACGTACTATTTCGCGAGAAAGAAGTTGACGAAGAGATACCAACCGAAACTCACGTTTGAACAAAACCGACTACTCAAAGCCATGCTCGGTAGTGAGGCCCCATCTAAGATCGTCAAACTACGAGTTCGCGTCCCCGAATATCTTGGTCGAAAACAATCACCAGAGCCCCTGGTTGAACCTCAACAACCTTCAGAGGTCATTCCAAGTCAAAGAGCCCGCTCAAAGTCAACGATATCAGTCCATCAGCTACCCTCACCATGCAGCACTACCGACTACGACGCGAAGGTATGTTACGAAAGAATCAGCTGTAATAAACGTCATCTGACAGCATGCAGCGCGATGATGAATTACGAAGATTGAGTGGTGCTACTTTGATCGAACCACTCGACCCAATCGTCCCAACCGACCGAATCGACCGCTACTTTAATCTTGAAGACCGGGAGAAGACCGCCTGTACCAACCTGAAGCGCCATAACAACCGAATAGAGGACCTGAAGCGCAAGAGGTCGGAGATCGAGAAACAGATCAATATGGAGGCGGAAGCTGTAGAGTTGCTCATCGCTGAGAGACATCAAGCCAAGATCGAGAAGGACCGACTTTGGAGTGTGTTGTCGAAAGAAGAGGCCTACGAGCTGGGTCGCATCGACACCGCAAGAAAGATTGCCAGAATCGATTGAGCTCAAAGCCGATCCATGGCCTGATGTCGAGGTACTGCCATCTCCTGGAACGAACGATATGGATGGAAGTGGATGCGTCGCTCTACGAGTAGTCACGCAAGCCAGCCTACGACGACGAGTCGCCAGACAGCAACTCCAATCCTCTGAGATTGAAACGCAGGCGCGAAGAACATCGCAATACCGGCAACCAGTTCTCTCAGACTTTACTTCGGGAC